CTCCTATACCTCCTATATCTCCTATACCTCCTATACCTCTATACCTCCTATACCTCTATACCTCCTATACCTCTTACCCTAGGACATAATCGAGTTTCCGGGGATATTCTTAGAAGACATCATATGACTGGATTCGTCTACAGGTTATACCAAAGCGAGAAAACGGTATACCAAGATAGAACTCGACGAGCTCTATCGAATGGGCACCGTTTTGGCTCCATTTGATGCTTGGATCCGCTCTGAAAGGGCGAATCCTGGCGGAAATCCAGGTGTTTCGTGTATTTTGCACCTGGGTTTGGCTACAGGTTATACCAATACGAGAAAATGGTATACTAAGATAGAGTTCGTCGAGTTCTATCTTAGTATACCATTTTCTCATTTTGGTATAATCTGTAGACGAATCCATTTGCGAAATGTCGCCTAAAAATCCGGATTCTGCCCAGGATTTGCCGTTTTGGAGAGGATCCAAGCATCAAATGAAGCCGAAAAGGTGTCCAATCGATAGAGCTCGTCGAGTTTCATCTTGGTATACCATTTTCTCATTTTGGTATAACCTATAGGCGAACCCAGTTGCGAAATATCGTCGAAAATCTGGATTCAAGCTAGGATTTGTCATTTTGGAGGCGATCAGAGTAACGGATCGAGCCGAAAAGGTGTCCATTCGATAGAACTTGTCGAGTTCCATCTTGGTATACCATTTTCTCGTTTTGGTATAACCTGTAGGCGAATCCAGTTGCGAAATACAGGGAAAACCCGGATTTAGACCAGGATTTCCCGGTTCAGAGGGGATCCAAGTATCAAATGGGGTGGGAAATGTGTCCATTCGATAGAGCTCGTCGAGTTCTATGTTGGTATACCATTTTTTTGGTTTGGTATAAGCTATAAGCGAATCCAGTTGCGAAATATCGCCCAAAAACCGAATTTCGGTCAGGATTTGCCCTTTCGGAGGGGATCCAAGCATCAAATCGGGTCGGGAAGGTGTTCATTCGATAGAGCTCATCGATTTCTATCTTGGTATACCATTGTCTCGTTTTGGTATAACCTATAGACGAATCCAGTTGCGAAATATCGCCCAAAAAATCCGGATTTTGGTCAGGATTTGCCCTTTCGTAGGGGATCCAAGCATCAAATCGAGCCGAAAAAGTGTTCATTCGATAGCGCTCGTTGAATTCTATCTTGGTATACCATTTTCTCATTTTGGTATAACCTCTAGACGAATCCAGGCGCAAAATACTAGGAAAACCAGATTTCGACCGGGATTTGCTGTTTTGGAGGGGATCCAAGGATCGAATCGAGCCGAAAAGGTGTCCATTTGATAGAGCTCGTCGAGTTCTATCTTGGTATACCATTTTCTCGTTTTGGTATAACCTATAGGCGAATCCAGTTGCGAAATACCGCGAAAATCCGGATTTCGGCCGGGATTTGCGGTTTTGGAGGGGATCCAAGCATCAAATCGAGTGGGGAAGGTGTTCATTCGATAGAGCTCGTCGAGTTCTATCTTGGTATACCATTGTCTCGTTTTGGTATAACCTATAGGCGAATCCAGTTGCATTATACTGAAAATGCTTTTTTTTTTGCTTATTTTTTGTCAGTATTTTGGGTTTTTTTCCATGAAGAGGGGGTCTTGGAAAAAAAGTAAATAGTGGAATCGATAGATCTCGTCGAGATCTATCTTGGTATAGCCTTTTGACCGTTTGGTATAACGCATAGGCGAATCCAGTTGCGGAATACTCGAATCCAGGTCCAAGATATCCTACGTCACGTAAGAACTTTCTTGCAATTGAAGGAAATTAGAATAGCATGAGTTCTCACTACCTTCAAAGTTTCAGTTTTGTTTCTTGTAACGCTAAGAACTAGCGTAGACAGTGACACTGAGAATTTTGTCAAAGCTTTGGAAAATCAACAGCTCCATCACTTGAAGATTGTTTTATCTCAAACTTTGACATCATGTCATATGTGTACATAATTGAATACGAATGATATCTCAGCTCGTTTCAAATCGTTTTTGACCGAGAAATCGTTATTTTACTGTCAACTTGAACGTTCGATATGTCCCTACGAATACAAATTCTTTTTAAAAGATGCCCAGTTCACTAGAATCTATATGATATGTATTGTCTGGAATGAAAAATGAATGAACACATATAAAACTTTTCTAGAAGGGACTGATTTTTGAGCATTCTACTTCGTTGAGACTGTTTTTCATACATTTAAA